TTTTTTTTTTTTTGGGGGGGGGGGGGGCAGGGGGTTACTGCATTATGCTACTACAATGATTTTAACAGTTTAGTACAGCAGTTGTCACACCTCTACCTGGGCCAAAGTCAGGTGTCATGTTAATTGATTTAATGCCCAAGATCAAAATAAGAACCCACTGGGGTTGATTAAAATTACAAAAGTGGTCTGGTAATTACTTTTTCATCAAGAAGTTTAAAACTGGGTACCAAAGTTAAGCTCCTAAAGCTATACACATGTCTTTCTATGGAGATTTTTACAAAGTCCTCATCACTGTAGCCCTTATTCAGAATGACATTAAAAATTGGCACACTATAGTTCATTCTCTCCATCATCATCTTCCCAAGGATGCACAGTTATGAGGAATATATATTTTGCTCTTATGCTGTGTTTGGGGGGGAGGGGTTGTTTTTTTTTTGTTTTTTTTAAAGATTACTATGTGCTATGCTTGCTCTAATGAAGACAAGGTGAGATGTCACTGGGAACAGAAGGGGTGATATTTGTGTGAATTCCAATGGAAGCTTATTCCAGAGTTGGACCATACCTTGAGAAATTGCCAACTCCTGCACATACCAGCATTGTACTATTTAGGCAAACATATAAATGCCTCTTTATTTTCAAGCATTCTGAGTAATAACATCCCATAGAAGGAAAAAAAAGAACTGGATGATTAATTCAGTGCTTATATACTAATTCAGAGATCTATTTTTCTTATGTGAGCTGAAAAATCTTAATTTGAGTTCCAAAAAGTGATACACCACTTGCCCAATTTGTCAGAGTATCATGGTTAGCCTTGTAAAACTCAGATGTCCCAAACTGATTTACTGATATATTTGAGAAAGTTTTCATAACCAAAAAATCTTTTCCTAAAGAAGACACGCTGTTAGGTCCAGTACACAGGTGCATCTAACCATGCGTGCACCCCATAACATACAATTGACTACTGCACAAAAATGCCTACCCATGGTGACTATAAATTGAATAAATAAATAAATATTTTTTACAATATAAACCAGGATGTATGTCTGATTTTCTGAGGAGTTCAGCTCTCAAGTTGTTTTCAACTCACTATATTGCATGTTTACTGTGCAGCTATTTTTCATTTCATGTAGGAACACATCCTGCTCCAACAGGCAAAAGCTAATCATTAAAATCTCCCAATATACTATCCTTCTAAACTGTGCCAAGGGTACTGCAAATAAAGACAGCTCATAATGTCAAGTATTTGCACGTACCAGGAATAGTTTGTGTAAATCTTTGTTTTTAGTAACTAAGAACATTTCTTGAATTGAATCAAGAAAGGGAGTTGTAATAATATAAAACAGCTGGAAAAACTTTAAATATACTAGAAGATTAAATGCTAGCTTTAAAAGCCTACTGAATATTAAAACAGATGTAGACTGTGTAAAGCTCTTCCTACCTGAACATCTTCTCCCTAGAACCAAAACTGTACCTTCCACAGCTACAGTAAGTTTGAATGAATTTTCCTTGCCATCCTACAGCAAAATCAACGCACTGCAGAATGAAGTCCCCTTCGCCAAAGCAACTCTTGTCATGGAGGTTTTGTGATAAATAAATAATTATATTTCCATAAAATGTTTCATATGTAAACAATTATGGTAGGAGTCCTATTGTTTCTGATTCTGCACCAAAACAGTCCCCCATGCATACAAGCCATTCCTGAGAGGGTATTTATATAATTATAACACACCCACCCAAATACCAACCCCCCTTTGGCAAGGAGCACATTTATAAATAGATGGTCAAATTTATGTTGATTTTTCTGGCCATAAGAATAACAAGAAAATGAATAAAACATAAAAAAACTGGATTGTAGCAACATAAGAACAGAAAATAAACCAACATGACAGCTGCAGACGCATGTGGCTTTACAGAATATTGAGAGGGTGCCACCTTCAGCTGGCCTACACAAAAGATCAATTAAAACCTGATTCCAAAGAATCCCAGGTGGAAAACAGCCTTCAGCCTAGCTTTAGGCCCTGTCTGCATGACAAACTGGTACCAGTCTACACCAGAGATGGTTATCCATGTTAGTCAGAAGGCAGGTTAGCACCTTAGAGACTAACAGGTTCAGAAAGGCATCAATTTTTGCAGACAACCACCTACTTGGTCAGATGGTAATAAAAGCCAATCTGCACGGACAACCTTAAATCAAGGTAGCTGAAGCAGTGCAAGCCCTTGTAAGGAAACTTATATTCCCATTTAAACCAGGCTTTTTTTTCCTATTATACTGGCTTAAAAAATTTCTGCTCAAGTAAAACAGATTCACAGACATTAGGGCTGGAAGGGACCTCAGAAGATCATTGAGTCCAGCCCCCTGCCCAAAGGACAGGAAGTCAGCTGGGGTCATAGGATC